TACCAATTTCCTTACTTACTCACGTGCTTTCTTACTTATTCACTCACTTCTTTTCTTCCTTACTTACTCACTTACTCACTCAACGATTTACTAACGTACTCACTTACTTACTTACGCATTCACGTACTCACTCACATACTTACCAACTTCCCTCATTACTTACTCACTAACTCACTCACTCACTCACTCACTCACTCCCTTACTTACTCGGTATCATGCACAAGGTCACTATCCTGCAGGAGCTTGGTATTGTCCAGCGTCTGTCGGGGTCTGTGGTGGTGATGCCCTTCGGAGGCGCCCTTGGCTCGGTCGTGGTGGTGCTGTCGCATGTGGCTGTGTGACCCGCTGGCGCCGTAGTCCCTCGCCGCCTTGAAGTCGCCGCTGGGCCCCGAACCCGTCGCCATCACGCCCGTCGACGCCGCGAGGAACAGCAGGAGCCACGCCCGCAGGAGGAGAGGGTTGTCTGACGCGGATGCCATGCTCGCGGGGGCTGTGGGCTTCAGAAGGGCAGAAACGTTTTTGATTTGATTTGATTTTTTGATGTGTTGATTTTAGCTGTTGTGAACCAAACGCTTATTTGTATTATTTGAAATTAGTTTCAATTTTAGATTTAACTTTTGAATTCATTTCGAAAAAAAAAATCATTTTAGTTTTTTTATTGAATTCATATCTATTATGATTTAAGTTTGACTTATTGTTAATATAAGAATTGAAAATTATCTAAAAAATATTTGAATTAAATACGGAGATAGACAGTCACATGTACATAAGGTAAGATATATATATTCATATGGATGTGTATGAGTGGTATATGCTACTTTGTGTGTACGTGTGTTTGTGTGTGTGTGTTTTGCCTATTTGTATGTTATCATCTTGTCATGATTATTTTCTATTCGCATGTTATGGATTATGTTATTTGTATGAAGCCAAAGCAAAGGTAGAATTTATGATAATATACATTTCTTATATTAAAATCCATAGCTTACTATTATTCACACATTGAAGAATATAAAAACTGAATATCAAATTAATACATTTTTTCTTATGATATAGAGGAAAGAAGAAAAAAAAACGAAATAAAAAAAAATAACGATAAAAGAGGGAAAGATACAAGTGAAAATAACAAGAAATGTTCAAACAAGTGATTAATGTCACACTCGCAACAATATCTCTTTTAAGGAACGAGTTAATGATCCACATCCGGGAACTGAAGACCATTGAATTTAAAACCCGACCTACCATTTATAGAAGCGAGGGTTTTCGTAGAGTGGGAGGGAGAGAGAAGGATAGTTAGATAGATAGGTAGACAAAGGAAGAGAGGGAGAGAGCAAACAGAGACAAAGAGAGAATGGCAGATACAGACAGACAGACAAACAAAGGGAGAGAGAGAGAGACAGGCAAACATAGAGACTGACAGATACAGATAGACAGATGGACAAAGGCAAAGGGAGAGCGAGATAGAGACAGAGAGAGAGAGAGACAGAGAAATAGAAAGATAGGGAGAGAAAGATAACTAACATCAATTATTTCCAAATTGCAATGATCTCTCTCTTTATAAGTACAATTCATGTATGTTTTATGCATATTTTTGGTATACTTCAAGTACATTTTTTTGCAGAACAATTACCAGTAACCCAAATTTCTTTCATTATCCACCTGACGCCCACGTAGATCAGAAACCAGGGAAAAGTGAGAAAATAAGAAAGTGTAAATCACAAGGAAACGCAAATCAAGTATGTTTATGACGCGTCTTTTTTATATAAACATTAATTTAGATGGAGTTACTATAAAAATTCCTTCTGTTTTGATCCAGCTTTCTCTCTTTGTACTCTCTGTACGTAACACTTTCCTTTGATAATGATTATTATCATTTACAAAAGTCAGTCTTATTTTTTTTTCTTTTTTTTTTTTTTTTTTGGGGGGGAAAGAGGAAAAAAGAAAAGAGGAAGAGAGGAAGGAAGAGATGATGAAGTGATTGCCGGAAATCATAGTTTTTTTCTGTTTTTAAAGTAGGGTCGTGGGTTTTTTCTATTCTCTTTTATAATTTTTTTTTTGGGGGGGCACATGGGCGATACGTGTTTCCTTTCTTTATTCTCTGTGACGATTTCTCTTTAATTTTCTTTGGCTATTTTGCTTCTCTCCCTTCCTCTCTCTTTCTCTCTATCTCTTTCTATGAATATATAAATAGATAGTTAGATAGGTAGACAGAAAGATAGGTAGATAAATATACATACACATGTACATATACATACATGTAAATGCCTATTTGTGTCTCTGCCAGTGTCATGTAGTCCCATGACTCGCTTTCCTCCCCCTTTAGGCCTAAACAATAAATACCCCCCCCCCCCTCCTGTCCGGCCACAGAACCCACCCCCACCCCACACCCCACCTCACCTATCCATCCTCAGAGCCCCTACCCTACCCCCCACCCATCCCCCAAACCCCACCTTATCCCCCCACCCCCCATAAATCTTCAGACCCCCCCATTCCCCCACTCATC